AAGTCAGGATCGGGCAGCAAGGTGGCAGGGTTCAGCGCAGCTGGTGTCTGAAATGTAACTCTGGGAGGGTTTAGGAAAGGCTCTGAGAGTGGGTGAGCCGTGCATTACTAAGCCAGCGCTCAGGTGGCCGTTTGAGTACACCCTCAATGGTGTGAGAGGTAGTGATGTCCCAAGCTCTTGTCCCGAAGTTAGTTTGTCAGCATCCCTGACCAACAGGGCAGCCGCAGCTATTACCGCAGGCAATGTGGCCACCCAGCAGCAACGGGGTCCAGTTTCTTGGAAAGATAGGCTACTGGTAGGTACTGGGTGAGCGCCCCCTTGGCTATGCCCTTGCGCTCGATCACGTGTAAGTGGAAGGGTTTGGTCACATCGGACAACCCCAGGGCTGGAGCTGAGAGTGGGGCCTTTATTTGGGGGGGGGGTCCGGTCGTGGGGCCTGAACTCTGGGCCTGGGCGCTGTCCCTCAGCTCTTCAGCTCAAGGCTAGCGCTCTACCACTTGAGCCACAGCGCCACTTCTGGCTTTTTTCTTTTTGCTTATGTGGTGCTGAGGAATCGAACCCAGGGCCTCAGGCATGGAAGGCAAGCACTCTATCACTGAGCCACCTTCCCAGCCCCAGATCCTGGCTTTTTGGGGCCAAGGGCAAGCTGAAGAAAGCATCTGTATAACATTGGCACTCCGGCGGTAAAGGGCCGAGGAGGGTGTGCGGGTCCGTAGTCAGCTTACTTACTTCTCAGGTCCTGAACTGGCTGTGGCTTGCGGACCGCTAACAATGGGGTGTTCCAGGCTGATTGGCAAGGCCAGAACACACCCAATTCCAGTAGACGCCGGATATGGGGGGTATTGTCTTAAGGACGGGCCCCGGTTTTAACTCCGGTGCCTGGCTAGCCCCACGCCCCCGGTTTCTGCCCAGGCCTCAGGGAAAGCTTGTAGCCAATAGTCTATGTCGCCACCTGGTGGTGGCGGGTGCTGGTGCAGGCGATACTCGTCTTCCTGACTAAGGTGAGGACCTGGATGGGGCGGTCCGGTTGATCCAGAACTGAAGTCCCGCCCAGCTGGAAGTGAATTTGAGCTCCAATTCTGGAGAGCGAGTTTCGCCCCAATAGGAGTCCTCTGGGCTGACCATGGACGAGTGGGCTCCGCGGCCCACGCCTAGGTCACTGTGCTTCGGGTAGTCCCTGAGTAGCGCCTGCACCCAGGAAGTTTTTCCGGATAGCTGGCCCCGGGGCTCGAGTAGAACCAAATGTTGAGCCCCGGTATCCATTAAGAAATCTTCGGGGGTCCCCTCCCCTCTGAGAGTTACCCTGGGCTCGGGGAGGGGGACCGAACTCCGTCCGCCATAGTCGCTGAGTTCCGCCCCAGTGACTAACACTCGGCAGGGACTCTGATCAGACCCGTGAGTCCTGCGCCTTGATTTCCTAGGGCAGTTTCTCGCCGTGTCCTGTTTCTCTGCAGTAAACACACGGGTCTCTCCGCACTCCCCCCTCCCCCACCCTTGGCCATCACCTTCACCTTTATCCCTTGCCAGATCGCGATGGGCGACGCCTTCCGCCTGTAGTTCGGGCTGTGTGCACTCGGCCCGTCTTTCTCCGGCGTTTCCCCTTCCCCTGGCCTATCTTTCCGCGGCCCCCTCTCTTTCCAGCTTCTCTTCCTTAGTCTCTCCACTGTTCTATACTTTCTCCTCCATGTCTCGTGAACTTTTCTTATTCCATCGGTGTCCTTTCTGCAGCTTTCCTTTAATATCAGGTGCGGCCTGAGTCGCGAATGACACGGCGCCTCGGGATCCGTGGGGAGTGTGCCGATCAGCTTCAGCGATGCTTTCTAAGAAGGCTGCCCTGTTCTGCCCAAATTCGTGGGCCTGCGCTGAGACCCGCCCTGAGGGTCGGCGAAAGACCCGGAGCCTCACCTTACCTTCGGGTGGGTGTGGTCCCGGTCAGGGCTGGGGCGCGCGATCCGTACGAACAGGGTCAGTGGTAGGCGGCCGTCAACCCCCGGAACCCTCTCAGCGCCTGGAGCAGCTGCTGGCCACGTCCCAGGTGGGCTGGTGAGTGAACAGAACAGTCTAGGAGATGAATCACAGCTTTAGGGGTGTCAGAAAGCCGGGCACTTTGGGTCCTCCAGTTGTATAAGTCAACGGGGAGCAAAAGCTCCCCGTTGCGTCAGGGGGTCCCGTGGGGCGCAGGGCGGTACCGTGGAAGTGAGATCCGCGGCCCCGAGCACTGGCGAGAACCGCCCCGGGCGCCGCCCTCCAGTCCCGGCCACTGCCCCTCCCCCGCCCCGCCCCAGGTGCTCGCGAGTCTCCCTCATCCGGCGGCAGGGGGCGGCGGCGGGGGCGGCGGGCGGCTGCCCCGTGCCCTCCCTCTAGCTCTCCCGCCGCCCGCGGGGCTGGGAGGTGTCGGAAACTGACACGGGGGGGGGGGGGCGGGGAGGACAACTCAGGGAGGACGGACTCTCCTCGTGGCCGCCCTGCGGCTCTTTGGCGGCCCCTGGCGTGGTAGGGGCCGGAGTGAAAAGGCTTTTATCCAAGGGTCCTGCCGAACCAGAGCGTGTGCATCTGGCCAGGGCGGCCAAGCGTCTGGAGAGAAATCCACACTGGCCACCCTCTGGACGGTGTGAAGATCCACGGCTCCTTCCGCCCGCCACCCGACGTGCAAGGTGGGCCACTCCGAGCTGCAGAAGGTGACCAGCTTACTCTTCCGAATTGCTACACGTAAAGCACGTGCTCTCCTTTTCACTTCGGTGGTGTTTCCCACGGTCCTGGAGAGGGGCGTGGCGGGAGTGGTGTCAGTCTGCCCCGTCTATCCCCGCACTAAGATACACAGAAACAAGACGGACACACAGAAAGTCCCTCGGGTCCACCGGAGGCAGACCTGCAACCAGGACTGGCTCCGGGAGCCCGCGGGCGCGACCCGCTGCGTCCCGTGGGAACTCCGAGCGAGGAGCCGCGCCCCTGCTCCTCCAGCGAGGGCCTCGCCCCTCCACAACGAGGGGCTCTAGGCTCCTCCAGAAGGGCCTGGAACGCCTTCCAGGACCCACCGCGGGCTGGCAACCTAGGTGCGTCAGCCTATTCAGAGTGACAGGTTTCGGGCCCCAGGAACGGAACAGTAACACAACACACAAACACGACACACCGATCGGTGTCCGAGACTCCGGTTAGGGGGATCCTGGACGAGCCCCCAGCTGAAGTACCAGGCCGTAGGATCCACCCCCCCCCCTCCCCCAGACCATCAGGAAGCCCTCGCCGCTGTAAATGCACAGCTCCAAACCCTCCCTGACTCTGCAGGTCAGGATTTGCGGGCCCGACCCTCCTTCAGCAGCATTTTTACTGTGTATGAAGCTGGCGGGGGCAGGGGGGGACGGATCATTACCACACTGGCTATGCGATTGGTGGGCGGCTCGCGGGTAAACCTTGTCTGAAGCTCACTGGCTGGGGTATGATCATTTCCAGTAGGGCAGGGACTCTAGCTTAGCGGTTACAGGATAGGTTTAATCATCCACAGCAAGCATCTTGCAGGTTGGGGTAGGCGGGGCCAATCACAGGAATGCTGAGGGAGCTATTCCTGGACTATTTCCTGTCCTAAATTGCTTCCTAACATTGTTCGGAGGTAATCGATCAGGGCGGTCTGCGATTCCGGGACAGATCAGGGCGGTCTGATTTCTTATTTTTGCTGTTACATTTTCTTGGAACATGAACTGACACTCGTTTCCCAGTAACAGATAGCAGATGTTTTCCTTAAGAGTTTCTGAAATCACTGCCAACTTATTTTGGCCTCTCAACAACAAGCAACAAGAATGTAAGCATTGAGCTTAAGCAGGCAAATTTTATTATCAAATGTAACAATTCTACAAAAACTCAGTAGTATTGTAATATTATTGCCTATCTTAAGTCTCCCAGAACTTCGAGAAGAGACTATCTTAAGGCATCAAGTACAAATACAAAGAACTTTATTCTTGATGTTAAGTGCAAGTTCTCACAAGTTTTCCCAAAATCTTTTTCCTTTCTTTTTTACTACTGCAGTTAAAGGGCCATAGCTGGTCAGGAAACGTTTCGCTCTCCTTTAAGATGTTAATGAAACTAATGCAAACTAAAGGAAATTAGCAGCCACAGAAATCTGCAGGACATTGAATTCAAGCAAAGGACAATGTGAATAACAAAGAAATATATGCACTTAATCAAATCCTTTTCCTCTTTGGAGTTAAAGAGGCAGCAATACTAACTAGCTAGTTATTGCACTTTTGTAGCATAAACATGGCTAAACACAGTGCTAAACACAGACAGCATCAGAACTATAATTACATCAGTGTTTACCTCAGTCTAGCATTCTGACTACCAGTCCTACTCTTTTAAAAGTTTTAATTAGTTGACAGGTTACTACAGAAGAAGGCTTAATGAAGGCTATCTTAATATATACAAGCATTTACTTTAGTTAGTATATTGCTTTCTAGAATACACTGTTCAAATGGTCTTATGTTGGTGATATTAAAAACTATGGGATTTCTCTTATTGAAGTTCAAACCATCAACAATGAAAAAAAGTACAATATAAAATAATACATATGAAGCCACAATATTTGGTTACAGTTCAACCTAAAAATCTACATGTAGCTGCTTCATTTTTGGTTTCGTATTTTGGCCCCTACTTCATTGTTATTTACAACTGGTACCTGCTGAGAAAAAGATCCAAAGTTTTTAACTGTGTATATGGTCAAAAGGACATAGCTTTTCTTCTAAATTATCCTCAGGTATTTGTGGAGGTGGGGGAGACAGAGGAAGGAAGGGGTGTAGGAGGTGCTGCTGATCAAACCCAGGGCCTCACACATGCTATGCAAGTGCTCCTTACCGAGCTCTATGTACCACCAGGCTGAATTGGGTGTTTCAGAAATCATTTAACTGTGTGTGTGTGTGTGTTTCAGAAATCATTTAACTCTGTGTGTGTGTGTGTGTGTGTGTGTGTGTGTGTGTGTGTGTGTTAACCTGTAAGACATCATGATAGCTAGGAGGTTGGGAAAATACTAGTTTTATTCCTTTTCTTAAGTTTGTGATTTAAATATTCCAAGACCTTATGCTTCAATTACTTAGCAAAAGGGTATGATTGTACAGAAATGGAAAGCAGATTGGGAATACATAAGAATAAAACTTACATAACATTTAATGGCAGAGACACTAGTGGACTATTTTTAATCAAAGACTTAAGCTTAGGAACCATCTATGATGCCACATTAGTTGGAAGTAACAGAGACATCTGATCTCAAGTTCACATTTAAATGCCTATCTGCAATCAGCAAGAAGCCAGGGATGCTGCTATTAGGATTTGGCTTTGCTGGCTCAAATTTTTCACTCCATCAAAAATAAGGCACAAAAATGAGCCAGGCCCACTGTCCAATCATAGATTGCTGAAATACTGCAGCCTGAGTGTAGACAAGCTTCCCCCAAAATTGTTAGAAGTTTTCTTGTGTCTGATGGTTTTAGGTTCATCACACATCTTTCAAACACTAGGGGAAAAAAAGTAAAAAGTGTTACAGTCTGCAAATTTAACTTTTAGTAACCACAAAACTGATTTCAAGTTCCTAAAGGACCAAAACATTTTTAATGAAACAGTTCCAATATTTTTCCCCCCAACAACTGGCATTCATACAAGATAGGCTTGGAAAGAATAGCACTTGCAAAGAAAGTCTACACAATACTATTGTAGCTAGGATAACCTGTACACACCATGTCAAGTTCAGTGTTGAGGAGGGGGTAATCCCAAGAACTTTTGTGTCTCTGAAGGCCTTGAAGTGTGATCCTCCCAATCTCAACTTTTAAGGATAAGGCCAGATGCCAATGACTCACATTGGCACCTGGCCCTATCATTTACATTATAGTGTATTCTTAACATGCATGCTTTCACCTCCCCACTCAACTCAGCTCCAATTGCATCAAGTCCTTAGTTTGAGTCCCCAAGTCAATACAGCACTTTGAATATTAGACACAATTTTTAAATTCTCATATAAGATAATTCAAATAATTTCTTTTGGGCTGGGAATGTGGCTTAGTGGTAGAGTGCTTGCCTAGCATGCACGAAGCCCTGGGTTCAATTCCTCAGTACCACATAAACAGAAAAAGCTGGAAGTGGGGCTGTGGCTCAAGTGGTAAAGTGCTACCCTTGAGCAAAAGAAGCTTAGGAACAGTGCCCAGGCCCTTAATTCAAGCCCCATGACTGGCAAATAATAATTAAATATTATTTCTTTTTTTAGTGGGGGGAGGGGTACCCAGGATGGAACCTAGAATATTATACTTGCTAGACAAGCGCTTTGTCATTGAAGCTACATCCCAGCCCCTCAAATAATTTCTAACAAAATCAATTAGAAAAGAAATCCAAGGGCTGGGAAGGTGGCTCAGTGGTAGAGCACTTGCCTTCATGCATGAGGCCCTGGGTTCGATTCCTCAGCACCATATAAGCAAAAAGAAAAAAGCCAGAAGTGGCGCTGTGGCCAAGTGGTAGAGGGCTAGCCTTGAGCTGAAGAGCTGAGGGACAGCGCCCAGAGTTCAGGCCCCAAGACCGGACCCCCCGCCCCCCAAGAAAAGAAAAGAAATCTAAGAAACGATATCATGACAAACAATAAGCTCTCCATGCCAGTGACTGGTTTACATTGATCAGTATATTTCATTCTAAAATACAGCTGTTTAGATCATCCTATCCCCACTTCATTTAATATGGTGTTTGGGGTCAAACCCTGGTCCTCACATATGTTACGCCAGTGCTCTATCACAAAGTTATATCCCAAATCCCTCTAGATACTTTGAAATGGGAAAATTTAAGCAGAGAACAATTGACAGTAGATCTTGATATCCATATTCTCTAATTTTCTAAACTCATGCAACAGCTTATAAATGCTTCCCCCTTGGACCCCAGTACTGAGGTTTGAAACTAGGGCCTCATTATCTCTGAGCTTACTTGTTTGACATTCCACCACTTGAGTCATGCCTTCAACTTGGCTTTTTGCTGGTTGTTTTTGGGTATAGAGGCTCATAATCTTTTCTGACCTCAAACCATGATCCTCCAAATCTCTTTATTACAGGTGTGAGCCATTCTTGTCCCTTATCCACTCCCCTACCCTCCCCCAATAAAAGCAAACACTACAACTAGTAACATAAAATTCACATCGTATTGTCTAGAGCTATAAGCACTTTAAACCATGCTGGTCCCAGACCTAATTCTCTCCAATAAAAATAGATGCTTTTAGTAAACAGATCTAGGATATGAAATATTAGATAGGATCCTCTATGCTGTTTAATTTACATAATATGCACACAGAAAACTAAAGTTTTCATTTTATTTTAGCTAGACACTGTACAGCCCTGCACATGCAAATGAGAATGAGGGATGAAGATTGAAATGGAAACAGCTTTTCAGAGCAAAGTCTTATATGGCCATTTTGAAATATGGTCAAGACTAATTTTATTTTAGTGAGAGATTCTACAAATGGTAAGCAAGTGTCTAAAAAGTACTAAAATACTGGTAGTGGTTTATGAAGTGACATTAATTTAGCCATCAGGTTACAACTGAAATGCTTTTCCTCAAATACATACAAATGCAGATAAGAAAGCTCTATCAATTACTCAACACTGTTGCCTACTTTTTTTTAATGTTATTTTATTTTTTTGTGAACACACTGTACAGAGGGGTTACAATTACATGGGCGGGATAATGCGTACATTTCTTACCAAGCATTGCAGCCTCCTCCTTTGTTTACCCTTCACATCCCTTCCCAGCCTCCCCCCACACCTCCCCACCCAATCCTCGCCCCCCCCCTTGCCTACTTTTTATCTTCCTTAGGCAACCGTATCTTAATTTTCCTTAAAGAAATGTCTGTCACTTCACCTAATCTCAAGCCCATAGAGAGGCAATTTTACCACTGAACGGGAGGCGCAACCCAGCCAGCAAAGGGGGAGCCCTGCCTAGTTCTGGCCATTGTGGTTTCAGAGATAGAGATAAGCTATGAAGTCACAATTCCTGGCTTGTTTCTGCACCTATAAATCAGGTGTTGCCATGCGGACCTCATGGAAAATTTGGCTGAGAATAGTCCAGCTAAATCAGTCAGCCCTGGCCCTCCAGTTATGCCTGTGAGTTCTATCTTCCTCCTTGTTAATCCATTATACTATACTGGGGAACACCTTTGTAGGTGCTTTGTACAATGTTACAATGTAGTTGTGTTACAAAGGTTAGAATTTGTTTTAAAGAAGTTAAAGCCCCAGACCTGCATCTTAATCTCAGTAGTAACCAACAGACTTTCAGAATTTGGGAATGAAGCTGCAGGCTCCTAACTGCAGGGTAGAGGGTGTTGGGGAGGGGGAGAGATAAAGGGAGAGAAGGGAAGGGAGAAAGAGAAAAGGAAATCATAAAAGTATAATGAGAAATTGTTTTGCTTCCTACACTAAAAACCTTAGCACAAAGACAATTTGGAAAGTTGTAATTACAAATATTCACAAATCTACCTTTTCTTCCTAATAAGATATGTGTTAAAATTATTTTATAGCCAACACCAGTGGCTCACATTTATAATCCTAGCCACTCAGAAGGCTAAGATCTAAGGACTGATGTTCCAAGCCAGACAAGGCAGTAACTTGCCTGTGATACTCTTATATCCAATTAACCACTCAAAAACCAGAAGTGACACTGTGGCTCAAAGTGGTAGAGCACTAGCCTTGAGTAAAAGAACTCAGGGACAGCACCTAGGCCTTGAGTTCAAGCCCCATGACAGACCAAGCAAAAAAAAAAAAAAAAACACAAACTTTTAGTTTATAATAAATTGACATTAAAAGTATTTATATACATAAGAGTTTTGTATTGTTTAAAATAGCTGGAAACAGCTAGAGAGCTGCTCATGGCTCACACCTATAGTCCTAGCTACTCAGGAAGCTGAGATCTGAGGAAAGAGGTATGAAGCCAGAACAGGCAAGAAAGTCTATGAGACTCCTATCACCAATTAAACACCAAAAATCTGAAAGTGGGCCAGACACCGGTGGCTCACACCTGAAATCCTATCTACTCAGGAAGCTGAGGATCGAGGTTCAAAGCCAGACTGGGCAGGAAACTCAGTGAAACTCTTATCTTCAATTAACCACCAGAAAACCAGAATTGGAGCTGTGGCTCAAGTGGTAGAGCGCTCACTTTGAGCTGAAGAGCTCAAGGACGGCGCCCAGGCTGAGACTTCAAGCCCCACGACTATAAATCACTTTCAAATCATAAAAGTAATCCAAATTTTACACTTCAAGAACACTACTGTTTGATCACATATTTTAATAGCTTTGGCCTCAGTTTTACTGGATCTACGTGGAAAAAAGGCAAATGAGACAAAGTGGAAAAACTCTTCATTTTTTAAAATCACCTTGCATAAGATTTTATAAACATAACAGTATTCAATACAGAAATTGAATTTTTATATTTTTGTATCAAATAAATAAGAATAAATCCATATTGTAGGTAAATAATATGAGGAGCAGGGGACAGAAATTATCCTTGTGGAAAATTTCTAATGCTGGGGCTGGGAAGGTAGCTCAGTGGTAGAGTGCTTGCCTTGCATGCATGAGGCCCTGGGTTCCATTCCTCAGCACCACATAAACAGAAAAAGCTGGAAGTGGCCCTATGGCTGAAGGGGTAGAATCTTAGCCTTGAGCTGAAGAGCTGAGGGACAGTGCCTAAGTCCAGAGTTTAGGCCCCATGACCGGCAAAAAAAAAAAATTTCTAATGCTATTTCATAAGTAAACATTCCCCTAGTGAAAGTAGACTGCATTCAAAAAGTCAGGGTTTTGCTGGTCACCGGTGGCTCACGCCTGTAATCCTAACTACTCAGGAGGCTGAGATCTGAGGATCACTATTCAAAGCCAGGCCAGGCAAGAACATCCTTAAGACTCTTAACTCCAATAAAACCACCAGAAAACTGAAAGTGGCTCTGTGGCTCAAGTGGTAGAGCACTAGCTCTTTAGCTCAAGGACAGTGCCCAGGCCCAGAGTTAAGCACCATGACCAAAAATTAAAAAAAAAATAAATAAAAAAGTAAGTTTGTGGTTGAAGGCTAGAAAGCATGATCTCAACCAAAAAATGAAGGTCAACTTCACCAATAATGATAATGTCACGTGTATCACATATTTCTGATGTCACTTAACCTGTCTGATCTTCATTCATATGTTTCACCAAAAGAAAAAACATAAAACAAATATAAATTGGAAGTCAGCCCACAAAATACTTCAATATAACTCAAAAGTGAGACAGTCATAAAAAACAAGGAAAGAATGAGTAACAGAGCAGAAGCCACTAAGTAGACAGGATACCCAATGCCATGTGGACTCCTGAGCAGTAACCTGGAAATGATGGTGAAATCTTAATCATGTCTGTGCCTTAAATAATAGTGAATAAAGAAACAAACTTTTTTTTTGGTGGGTTGTGTGGCCTGAACTCTGGGCCTGGGGACTGTCCCTCAGCTCTTCAGCTCAAGGCTAGCACTCTACCGCTTGAGCCACAGCACCACTTCTGGCCTTTTCTACTTATGTGGTGCTGAAGAATCGAACTCAAGGCCTCATGCATGCAAGGCAAGCACTTTATCACAGAGCTACCTTCCCACCCCAACGAACAAACTTAGATTTATTAATCCACCTGATTCTCAAGACATTCCATTAAGCCACATATGCAGCAAGTGATTTTATGCTCATTTCACAAAGAAAGGTATGTCATGTCTATATATGTACACAAAACACGGGTACATCCAACATCAGGGAGATCTGAGGATCATGGTTGAATGCTAGCCAAGGCAGGGAAGTCTACGAGACTCTTACCTCCAATTAACCATTAAACAAACAAACAAACAGAAAACACAAATGGAGCTGTGGCTCTAGCTTTGAGAAGAAAAGCTCAGGGCCAGGGCCCGGGCTCTGAGTTCAAGCTCCTGGATGGCATGCGGAAAAAAAAAAAAAAGGCCAGGTGCTGGTGGCTCATGCCTGTGATCCGAGCTACTCAGGAGGCTGAGATCTGAGGATCATGGTTCAAAGCCAGCCCGGTCAGGAAAGTCTGTGAGACTCTTATTAACGACCATAAAACTGGAAGTGGTGCTGTGGCTCAAGTGGTTGAGCCCTCACTTTAAGCTCAGGGACAGCGCCCAGGCCTAGAATTCAAGCCCCATGACCAAAAAAAAAAAAAAAACAAAGAAAAAAAGCCTCAGGAAAAGATATGTGGAACTACTCCACGGCTGAACTGTACATTTTTAAATGGTTAATTTTATGCTATATCAAATTTACGTCTTTTTCTTCCTTTAAAAAAAATGCCCAATTTATATTTCATATGGTAGACTAAAGGAATGTCCAAATGTTTTCTCCTTATCCCAAAATAAAGGACAACTCTCATTTATATGTTGCTTATGATAGGGTTTTTTTCAAATGACAAACTTAATTCCAATCTCCAGTCCTTCTAGGTTTAATATACATTACAAAAAAAAAAAAGAGGACCCTCTCATCAAGCCCCTAAAATATCTTCAGCTTTATAGCCTATTTGGACCTTTATAATTCAGCTTGCATGTGTACAGCCTTACCTTCTTTTCTGAGGATGGTATAACTGCTGGGGCCCTTAAATACAAACCCATTCTTTGGGTAGAGTCCTGGCCTGGTCATTTGTGTGTACAAGTCCATCCTCGGTTGCATACTAAAATGCAAATTAAAATAAACAGGATGAAAAGATGGACAACCTGTCACTCTGGATGATATCTCAATTAAATTTCCAACAAAAGTATAAAACATTTAGACTGTAGAAAAAAATAGGCACATACCACATATGTAAAAGTTCATTCAAAAGGTTCATTCCTTACTTAACATAAAAAAAAATACTATCAAAATCACCTCAGGAAGAGGAGTTAGACTGGACACATGCATTAGAAAAATAAAAACACCACCAATCCAGAAAGTTTTAAAAGAGCAAACCTATACACATTGTTAATAGTACAGTTTCCACAAGAACACTTTTTTCTTTGTTAGAAAAAGAAAATAGGGCTGAGCGCCAGTGACTCATGCCTATAATCTTCACTAGTCAGGAGGCTGAAGTTTGAGGATTGCAGTTCAAAGCCAGCAAGGGCAGAAAAGTCCGTGAGACTCTTATTTCCAAAGAAGTGGTAAGGTAGCTCAGTGATAGAAAACTAGCCTTGAGCAAAAAACCAAAAAACCACAAAACAAAAAAACTCAGGGACAGTGCCCAGACGTTGAGTTCAAGCCCCATGACCAACAGAAAAGAAAATAGTGCAGTGTATGACTGGAAATCATAATTGGAGCATCTTTTGTATAATAAGCCCCAGTATTCCATACTGCCCAATAACCTTAGGAATTTTAAGTGGTATTATAATGTATTTGAAATTTCAATCTAGTTATCTTATTTGGGCACCAAATAAAAAATCTTAGTAGTAATAAAAAAATACTACATTTAAAGTCAGAACTTTGACCATAAACAAAAACCAACATTTAGGGGCTGGGAAGGTGGCTCAGTAGTAGAGCGCTTGCCTTGCATGCATGAGGCCCTGGGTTCGATTCCTCAGCACCACATAAGAAAAAAGCCGGAAGTGGTGCTGTGGCTCAAGTGGTAGAGGGCTAGCCTTGAGCTGAAGAGCTGAGGGACAGCGCCAAGGCCCAGAGTTCAGGCCCCATGACCGGACCCAAAAAACAAAAAAACAAAAAACCAACATTTATCAGAAATGCACAGACATTGTTAGTAAAGGATAATACAAAGAGCAAATGAGAAAAATTAAAGAAATAATATAAGGATACCTGATAAGCCATTCGGAATAATAAGTCCATCAACTAAAATATGCACACAAAGATATTTTACTGAAGAAGATGATGCCCTTAATTGACAAGTACTTTCAAGACACTTGGTTATCATAAAATTCTGTTCTTACTTGGCAGCCAGGGGCTCGTGCTTGTAATCCTAGCTACTCAGGAGGCTGAGATCTGAGGATCACAGTTCAAAGCCAGCCTTGGCAAGAAAGTCCATGAGACTCTTAACTCCAATTAACCACCAGAAAACGGAAAGCGGTTCTGGAGCTCAAGTGGTAGAGCACTCACCTTGAACTGAGGACATCAGGGACAGCACCCAGGCCCTGAGAGCAGGCCCCACGACCAACAACAACAACAAAAATTCTGTTGAGCTCACTTGTCAAATAGAACTAACTCAGGTAAGGCGACAGATTTTTTTTTGAGACCAGAGGCTGCTACATGGCTCAGCCTGGCCTCTAATTTCGATCAGCCTCCTAAATTATGGGATTACAGGTATATGATACCATGCTCAGCTATGATAGCAAGTTTAATGGCAGAATCTAAGCCTCATATCCTAATTCAACCAGTAGAATCCATCTCTGTAACAATCCCTCTTTCTGGCCACAGAACCCAATGACATATGGAAAACACAAAGTTAGAGTAGTTTTAAAAGAATTTTAAAGGGCTGGGAAGGTGGCTCAGTGGTAGAGTGCTTGCCTTGCATGCATGAGGCCCTGGGTTCGATTCCTCAGCACCACATAAGCAAAAAGAAAAAAGCCGGAAGTTGCGCAGTGGCTCAAGTGGTAGAGCACTAGCCTTGAGTTGAAGAGCTGAGGGACAGTGCCCAGGCCCAGAGTTCAGGCCCCACAACCAGCAAAAAAAAAAAAAAGAATTTTAAAGAAGGTAGGAAAGAATACATCAAAAAATTTAATGTACTTTACAGAACGGTGCATTTTATTACTACATTTAGTTGGTTTTGGGGATGTTTTGTGTTTGTTTTTTGTGTTTTTTGGGGGGGTTGGTTTTTGTGTTTGTTTGGGGACTGAACTCTAAAAACCTGATGGGTCCGAAAAATGAGATAAAATGGTATCTCTTAACAGTTACTGGTTTTAGTTTCTTTTTGTGTGTGTGTGTGTGTGTGTCCGGTCGTGGGGCCTGAACTCTGGGCCTGCGACATGTCCCTCAGCTCTTCAGCTCAAGGATAACGCTCTACCACTTGAGCCACAGCGCCACTTCCGGCTTTTTTCATTTTTGCTTATGTGGTGCTGAGGAATCGAACCCAGGGCCTCATGCATGCAAGGCAAGCGCTCTACCACTGAGCCACCTTCCCAGCCCCTGGTTTTAGTTTATTCTAGAGTCATTTAGAGCTATTTGGTATAATCAAAAGTACAAAATTTGTTAAATTATTTGGCCTTTTTTTTTTTATTGTGGGACTTGAACTCTGGGCCTGGGTGATGTCCCTGAGCACTTCAGCTCAAGGCAGCACTCTACCAACTTGAGCCACAGCGCCATTTCCAGTTTTCTGGTGGTTAACTAGACATAAGAGTCTCGCTGGGCGCTGGTGGCTCACGCCTGTAATCCTAGCTACTCAGGAGGCTGAGATATGAGGATCGCAGTTCAAAGCCAGCCCGGGCAGGAGAGACCGTGAGACTCCTATTTCCAATAAACTACCAGAAAACTGGAAGTGGCGCTATGGCTCAAGTGGTAGAGGGCTCGCCTTGAGCTGAAGAGCGCAGAGACAGTGCCCTGGCACAGAGTTCAAGCCCCATGACCAACCAAAAAAACAAAAAAAAGAGAAGAGTCTCATGGACTTTGCTGCCCAGGCTGGCTTTGAACCAGATCTCAACTTTGATCTTCAGATCTCAATCTCCTGAGTAGCGAGGATTATAGGCGTGAGCCATCAGTGCCCGGCTCTTCTGGCTTTTTGCTGTTCAGTTTGGTGCTACTTGGACTCTTCTATCTGGGCTGGCCTCAAAGAACGTCCTCTAGGTTTTAGCCTCCTGAATAATCAGGATTGGCACCCAAATTCTACTATCTTTTAAAATACAGAATCAGAGATTATGAACAAATTTCATTCATTTGACCAATTACTTCCTGGATATTTGCTTTTTAATATAATTACCATACTTAAGTGAACCTAAATCATTCCTCATAGTTTCAATTATTATTATTTTTTTTTTGGGGTCCGGTCGTGGGGCCTGAACTCTGGGCCTGGGCGCTGTCCCTCAGCTCTTCAGCTCCAGGCTAGCACTCTACCACTTGAGCCACAGCGCCACTTCCGGCTTTTTTCTTTTTGCTTATGTGGTGCTGAGGAATCGAACCCAGGGCCTCATGCATGCAAGGCAAGCGCTCTACCACTGAGCCACCTTCCCAGCCCCATAGCTTCAATTATTAAAGGCAGATACACTAATAATTTAACATATGAGATGAGATAATTGAAGTTTCAATTAATCCTAATTCTTCACTGATCCAGTGTATAAAATTGAAGCACTCCAAAAATGAAGACCAAAGCCTCGTGCCAGAAAACCAGAAATGGCTCAAGTGGTAGAGCACTAGCCTTGAGCTTAAGAGCTCAGGGATAACACCCAGGCCCAGAGTTCAAGCCCCACACTACCACCACCAAAAAAAAAAGAAGGCCAAATAACTTGACAAACTTTGTACTTCTGATTATACCAAATAACTCTAAACTTAAATAACTCTAGAAGCAAGTAAAACCAGTAACTTTTACAAATATAATTTTATCTCACTTTTTGGGCACATCAGGTATTTAGTCACAAATTTAGAAATACATGATTATGTTTGTGGAAAATACTGACAAATGCCAGCAATGACATTCTCTTCATAACTGCAATTTTGCTTCATAAAATTATGCATAAACTGCTAACTTATGTGTAACAATGCTTAAGTTTACTAAGTGTGAAAATAAATTAGTCAAAAGAAATTGATCTCACTCAAAATTCAAATTCAAACATTGCTTGGACTTCCTACAGTAGAAAAATAAAAAGTAAATAAAATAAAATGTTTTCTCTAGGAAATTAAGTAGTCATTTTAATAAACTTCTGCAAAATTTATATTCTAACAAATCAGATATGAAGAAAGATAATTTTCCCCCTTTAAAGATCCTCCAAAGACAACATAATTATTTAAGAATAAAATATCTAACACCACTGATTTCTTTTGCTGGTACCAAGGCTTGAACATAGGTCCTGAGCACTGTCCCTGAACGTTTATGCTCAAGGCTAACACTCTACCACTTGAGCCACCACTGGCTTTTCTTTTGCTGCTTAATTAGAGATAAAAAGTCTCACAGACTTTCTTGCCTGGGCTAGCTTCCAATTATGATCCTCAGATCTCAGCCTCCTAAGTAGCTAGGAATTACGGGCTTGAGCCACCATCACCCAGCTCTACTGACTTCTCAAAGAAACTTTTAGAATAAGAATTTCACTTCTTAGACTAAGAATGTGCTAAGTCAGGCAGTAATGAAAGGGCTGAGAATGTGGCTTAGTTGGTAGAGTCCTTGGCTAGCATGCATGAAGCCCTGGGTCCAATTCCACAGTACCACATAAATAGAAAAAGCCAGAAGTAGTGCTGTGACTCAAGTGTAGAGCGCTAGCCTTGAGAACAGAGAGGTTCAGAAACAGAGCCCAGGCCCCGAGTTCAAGCTCCAGGACCAGCAAAAAAAAAAGAAAAAGTAACTTGTCCACCTTCAACTTTGTACTATCAATGTACTACCAACTCTCTTCACTTGTCAGAAAATATTCTGTTTATATTGAATGTCCTTAAGACAATTACAGAAATTTAGTAGGTTTGAGGCACTAGCTTCATCAGAGATCATTTTATTGTTTAAATTTTTATTGTAAAGGTGATATACAGAGGTAGAGATCATTTTAATTGACCATACTCCCTCTACTCATGAATAAAAAATTCATAAATCTAGTCCATTCTAACTGTGAAATGGCAGACACAGCTCTTACACATTATGCTGCAAATGCTCCAATGGTTTTAGGATTTCACTATGTTTTCTAGAACATCTCAACTTTAATGACTCAAGCTAACTTCAGCTCCAAGAGGAGAGAAGACATAACCGTAGAAAAAGGAAGACAATAGAAAGAATACAGACTATTTTTCAACATTTTGGTATCAGGTAACTGATGTAAGAAAGGTAGGTAATTGATATAAGGAAAAAAAGTATCTACTCAATTAAATTGGCAATTAGCAGAGATTTTTCACTGTCTTGTTAAAAAATCTTATTTTAAAATGTACCATTTTTTTAGCTTGTCATGCATCAGTTGAGGGGTGCAGCAATGGTAGAAAGTAACTGACCAAAGCAAATGTAGCTTCACTAGCATTAATAATTTCATAGGAGGGTCATCAAATACTCCAGAGCTCATTCTAAGGACCCAAGTGAGCCTCTCCAATGAATTAGGTAATGTTGCTGGGTGCTGATGCCTCACACTTGTAATACTAGCTACTTAGGAGGATGAGATCTGAGGAATGCAGTTTAAAGTCAGCCCAAGCAGGAAAGTCAAGTCTACATTCGACTCTTATCGCTACTCAACTGCCAAGAGCAAAAGCAAAAAAATAGATAAAAACTGTAAGTAAAGGGGTGACTCAAGTGGTAGAGCACTAGCCTTGAGCAAAAGCAGCTGAGGGTCAGCGCTTACGCCTGGGGTTCAAGCCCCGGGAGTAGCACCACATACACACACAAAACCACCACCACCAACAACAACAAAAAGAAATTAGGTAATGTTTATTTGTAGTTCTTTTTTTTTCCCCGTCTTTTCTAGGTGAGACAAAATCTTTGATTTGTAAATACAAAATACTTTTAAAAACAAACTAGCAAGTCTGGGGGTAGAACCCAGGAAATTGTATATACTGGACAAATGCTTTTCTAAGGTAGTATTCCTGATGAAAATGCTTGTACTGTTAGATATCCTAAAACATTTTCCAAAACCAGCACAGTATTGAAACAATAATAACAACAAACATCAAAAGATTATGTGAAAACAACAAGGACCCATAAACAAATCCATTACCACACGCACATACAAGAGTTTCAGAAAATCAGTTTCTTTCCTGGCTACATTCTTAGGGCAAATGAATTCAATAAAAAGGGCACTGAGTATTTTTCTTCTTCAGTCTACTAACCTGGTAACCTTGGAAGAAGTTAAGAATTTCCTTAACTCCAGTGTTGTAGGCCAGGCCCTGCATTCTGACCACTGTGCCAGGCTGCGGAGGAACACCGCTAAGATTAGCAGCTGTAGGGAAGTAGCCAAGACCATTAGGCGAACCTGGGGGACTAAAGGAAGAGAAAGCACAGTGAACCACAACAGACAATGTTGAATATTGATTCATTTTTTTAAAATTAGCTACTTAAGGAAACTGACTTTGGGAAGGTGATCTTTCTTCTACTTCTCAGAGCTCTCTTTCCTAGGACAATGAGAATACTGTAGTAGTTTCACATTTTATACCAGTCAGAAGTTGCAGAGGGAGTGAGGTTAGCACCATTACATGCAGGACTTCCGCAAATCTCTCTGTTCTTGTGTTCTTTTTTTTTTTTTTTTTTGGGGGGGGGTCCAGTCGTGGGGCCTGAACTCAGGGCCTGGGCGCTGTGCCTCGGCTCTCCAGCTCAAGGCTAACGCTCTACCACTTGAGCCACAGCGCCACTTCGGCTTTTTTCTTTTTGCTTATGTGGTGCTGAGGAATTGAACCCAGGGCCTCATGCATGCAAGACAAGCGCTCTACCACTGAGCCACCTTCCCAGCCCAATCTCTCTGTTCTTAAAACAGAGGGAAGGAGGTGAGAATAAAGCTTCATAGTCACTCAGCCACAAAGTACCACTTCAAAGCTCAGCTCATTGATAACTGGTTACCTGTCAGGAATACTAGGCATAAAAAGGCATGAGTACGAAAGAGTCACAGGAACTATAAACAGAAACCAAAAGGAACCATAGCCACATCTAAATTTTTTTTAAAAAGGACATTTCTAACTATAAATAAAAACAAATACATAGCCCAAGAATTCAGTGAAGAGAAGCACACAGTACCCTTGAGTTAACTCTTCCAACATGATTTTGCTAATGTGGGAGCAGGGACAGCTGGAAGGGATGCATAATAAATGGTTAACATGGAGGGAAGATTGATAAATACGGCCTTGGGATATTATCTGCAGCAACTATTTCCAAAGAACACAAGCCAGGTGAGCACTTAATTTTTTGTGGTGATTCTAGTGATCACCTTAATTTCACCATTAGTTTACCAAGTGATCCAAATAGTTTAACACTTAATTCCATGCTTGCCTCCACCCAATGTATTTTCTAAAACTATTATTGGTAGCCAGACAATTGTAATCTTAGCTACTCAGAAAAATAAAAAACTTAATCTTCAATAAGCCAGCAGAGGGGCTGGGAAGGTGGCTCAGTGGAAGAGCCTTGCATGCCTGAGGCCCTGGGTTCAATTCCTCAGCACCACATAAGAAAAAAGAAAAAAGCCGGGAGTGGCACTGTGGCTCAAGTGGTAGAGCGCTAGCCTTGAGCTGAAGAGCTGAGGGACAGCGCCCAGGCCCCGAGTTCAGGCCCCATGACTGGACCAAAAAACAAAAACAAACAAACAAAAAAGCCAGCAGAGGGGCTAGGAAGGTGGCTCAGTGGTAGAGTGCTTGCCTTGCATGCATGAGGCCCTGGGTTCAATTCCCTAGTACCACATAAGCAGAAAAAGCGGGAAGTGGTGCTGTGGCTGAAGTGGTAGAGTGCTAGCCTTGAGCTGAAGAGCTGAGGGACAGTGCCCAGGCTCAGAGTTCGGGCACCATGACTGGCAAAAAAAAAAAAATTACTTAATTAATTAAAAAAATTAGCCAGCAGAATGCTAGACTGCAGGCATGGCTCAAATGAACAACTGTGAGCAAACAAGCTGCAAGTGCAAAGTTGAGAGTGGTATACCAATAAAATACAAACACACATGGAAAGATTTGTTAAAGTTATTGACTGAAAGGCCACTTTCTTACCAACATAAGATTATGACCTTCCATTCACTTTTTCTAAGTAATTGTCCCATTTCAAATACGAGTAAATATAAGGGAAGGCAATAAAAGTCTTTGAGCTATTTATCATATATAATCACAACGTATGAGTTAATAAAATTGGACATTAGTACGAAGTACTGGTCACACTCCTCCCTCATCACTGAGATATGAACTGCAGACCTCCTGCTTACTAGGCAGGCATTCTACCAGTTGAGAAATAGAGTCCCAGGCTCTACTTTTTTTTTTTTCCTGGTCCTGGGGCTAGAACTCAGGGCCTAGGTGCTATCCCTGAGCTATAGTGCTCCAGGATAGTGTTCTATCATTTGAGCCACAGCTCTACTTACAGCCTTTTTGGTGTTTTATTGAGTCATAAGGACTTTCTTGCTTGGACTGGCTTCAAACCATAACTCATAGATCTCAGCCTCCTGAGAAGCTAGGATTACAGGCATGAGCCACCAATGTCCAGCAAAAGCTTTTTTTTTTTTTTGGTCATGGGACTTGAACTCAGCCTGGGCTCTATCCCTCAGCTCAAGGTGAGTGCTCTACCACCTGAGCCACAGCACCATTTCCAGTTTTCTGGTGATTTATTGGAGAGAAGAGTCTCAGAGACTTTTCCTGCGGTCTGGCTTTGAACCTCGATCCTCATCTCAGCCTCCTGAGTAGCTAGGATTACAGGCGTAAGCCACAAGCACCCAGTTTAAAAGCCTATTGTTTCTTTCCTTTTTTGTTTTGGTTGGTTGTGGGGCTTGAACTCTGGACTTGGGCGTAGTCCCTGCACTCTTCAGCTCAAGGCGAGCGCTCTACCGCTTGCGCCACAGTACCACTTCCTCTTTTCTTTTCCTTCCTTCTTTTCTCTTCTTTCCTTTTTTTTTGTTGGTCATGGGGCTTGAACTCTGGGCCTGGGCACTGTCCCTCTGCTCTTCAGCTCATGGTAGCTCTTTATCACTTGAGCCACAGCACCCACTTCCAGTTTTCTGGTGGTTTATTGGAGATAAATAGTTTCACAGCTTTTCCTGCCTGGGCTGGCTTTGAACTCTGATCCTCAGATCTCAGCCTCCTGAGTAGCTGAGATTACAGGCATGAGCAACCAGCACTCAGTTACAAGAGCCTATTCTTAATAAATTAAAAATAAATAGGCTGGAAATGTGGCTTAGTGGTAGAGTGCTTGCCTAGCATGCATGAAGCCCTGGGTTTGATTCCTCAGTACCACATACACAGAAAAAGCTAGAAGTGGCACTGTAGCTCAAGTGGTAGAGTGCTAGCCTTGAGCAAAAGAAGCTCAGGAACAATGCCCATGCCCTGAGTTCAAGCCTCAGAATTGGCAAAAAAAAAAAAAAGAAAGAAAGAAAGAAAGAAAGAAAAAGTCCCTGGGGCACCAGTGGCTCACGCCTGTAATCAGATCTCAGGAGGCTGAGATCTGAGGCTCACAGTTCAAAGACAGCCTGGGCTGAAAAGTCCCCACCAGAAAACCAGAAGTGGCCCTGTGGTTCAAAGTGGAATGCTAACCTCGCACAAAACAGCTCAGGGACAGCAACCAGACCCTGAGTTCAAGCCTCACAACTAACCAAAACATAAAAACAAAACAAACAGCAAATGAACTTTTCTGCCATAGCTGGCTTCAAACTATGATGTTCAGATCTCGGCCTCTTGAGTATCTAGGATTATAGATATGACATACCCATGTTAGGTGCCGAAGATTTAAATTAGGAGAGTGCCAAAGGAACACAGCTGTGAAGGTTTAGATTGCTCTGGGCTGGCACAGTATACAGCATACAACACACTAGCAATCAGATCTTGGGGTTGAGGGCATGGGGCTGAAGGCATGGCTCAGCCACACAGTCTACTTGACAAGTGTGAAGCTCAGAGTTTAAACCCAGTAGCACTGGGGGAAAACAAACAGATCTAAAACAAGGCAATACTTGTGTCAAAGACTTTGTCAGTGTTAATTTCCCCGGTAGGTTTGTTTTGGTACAAACTGTCATATGCAAAAGCTGTATTCCCTCCTTCCCCCCCAAGTTAGGGAAGAAGTTGTTTTCTTTTGCAATTAATGTTTTCCAATTTAACTTGCTCACAGCCTATTATATTTACAGCAATAGCAACTTAACTGCCTAAGATTTAAATGACATACTACTGAAAAAGGAATTCCTATCTATATGTCCTCCAAGATCTTATATAATTTTATATCAAACAATGAGTCATATCACACAATATTCTGTGCAGAACAAAGGAAGATATGTAAACATACTGGGATCCCAAAATGCTCACCACATAACCACAGTCAAAACATACTCTCAAAAATAAGCTTTAGGCTGGGCAACAATGACTCACACCTGTAATCCTAGCTACTCAGGAAGCTGAGATCTGAGGATCATGGTTTGAAGCTAAACCAGGCAGGAAAGTCCATGAGACTCTTACTTCCAATTAATCACAAAAGTGGAGCTGTGGTTCTACTAGTACAAGCCTAGCCTTGAGGGTAAGAATCTCAGAGACGTTGTTCAGGTCCTAAAGTCAAGCTAAATTCAAGCTCCAGGACTGGACTCAAAAAATTAAAAAAAAAAAAAAAGCTTCATACAACCTTGCAATAGTATTGATCATACTCTTTAATGCTATCAGGTAAACACCGGAAATAAAGATAGTAAGATAGGACAGGATTTGTAATTTGAGAATTTGCCAATTTTCTAGAGAAGGCCCAGGCACTATCTATCTTGTTAGAGAAATAGGTTAAGTAAACAGTACATGAAAGAAATATATTCTCCTCTCTGGATAGAGTCACAACATATTAACATGTGGAAGGCTTAAGAAGTCCTGCAGAAAGAAATCTGCTTCCCACTGCCTTAAATTACTACAAAGAACCTTTCTTTTTTTTGGGTCCGGTCGTGGGGCCTGAACTCTGGGCCTGGGTGCTGTCCCTCAGCTCTTCAGCTCAAGGCTAGCACTCTACCATTTGAGCCACAGCGCCACTTCCGGCTTTTTAAAATTTTTTTCTGCTTATGTGGTGCTGAGGAATCGAACCCAGCGCCTCATGCATGCAAGGCAAGTGCTCTACCACTGAGCCACCTTCCCAGCCCTACAAAGAACCTTTCAATTAACAGTTCATAACACCTCCAGTGTAACAAAAGTCACATACTTGAAAACTGACAGTATTACTCAGTCCTTACAGGTATTAAGTCTGGACTTGGTTTTCAAGTAAAATTGACCTACATTAACCATTGACCTACATTAACTTTTGAATTTTCATCTGACATCAACAATCTCAGGAAAGTTAGCTTTTAAATAGTT